TCATATTCAATTCATTTATTAAGTCAATGGCAAAAAGCCTTACTGACTAGATTTACAGATTCCTTAAACTTAAACTTAAAACTAATAAAATATTAAATCAATGGCGGATTATCTCGGTAGTAAGATTCAATATCTGCCTTGAAATGGGACCTTGACATTGCGAAATCGAGATCAATAATTCTGCAGATGCGATTTAACTCGTTGAGCCCTCTTATAAGTGGGGCAAATTTGAGATAATTCGATCTCAGAATACCAATATAAAAAATATTAGTAGAGCGTAGAGCTCTATTAGGGATATTAAAACATATCTGTCCAAGAAGAGCTGAACAATCAATGGCACCGGAAATTATGTCAAAGATAAACATTAGATTTTGAACAGCTCGCCTAATATCGAGCGGCTGAACATTAATTAACATACACCTGGCAGGATAGGGTGGCAGAGGACTAATAAAATTGAGAGGTTGAACAGCAAATCGTGTGAATTTGCGTTGAACTCTTTCAATTCTAACAGAGTGTGTTTTATACATGGGATTCCATATAACCGAGCCATACTCTAATTTTGATCGCACTAAAGAATTAAACAAAATTTTCCTAGTATAGGGGTCTTTGAAATCCTTCGCATAGCGTCGAAGAAAGGCCAAGTTAGAATATGCTTTCGGTATAATATGGTTGACATGGTTAACAAAAGTGAAGGAAGAGTCAAAAATTACTCCCAAATCACGAAATTCCCGAACCGATGCAAGAGCTACATTAGAAACCAAATATGTAGACGCACGCGCATTCATAGACTTGGAGAACGTTATGTGGCAGCACTTACTACCATTGAGGCACAATTTATTTTGAATAGCCCAAGCGTTAAGAGCATTCAGATCTTCCTGCAAAAGCAGGGCGTCCGATTCAGAAGAGATCCTGCTGAACAGTTTTAAATCATCTGCATACAATAGATAATTTGCGTGCTTTAGGTGCAAGCCAACATCATTGATGAAAATTATAAATAAGATGGGACCAAGGATACTACCTTGTGGCACACCTGTAGTGCGATTCACTAACTTTTAACAACGCTACTTGCCGAGTTGTAAACTAACAATTTTTGTTGTTTGCAGTAACGATTGTACGATTCTCTAACGTACCCATTAACAACACTAAACAGCTGACTTTTGCTATTTATTTAAAATGATAAAAAGTGGCACCTCTGTTATCCGAAATGTCAAAATCTACGAAAAGCACAAAAGGGAATAGGAAAAAAAACGCAATTTACCACATATTCTTCTTAAAAATGTAAGTATTTCAATAAATTGATGAATAAATAATTTAACTAGCTATTGTTCTTTTATCGCAGGATGGCCTCGACTAGCCAAGCAGCCAACAAGCGGAGCCGCGCTTCAATGGAGCAGTTGAGTGGTATGCTGGACTTCTTTTTGGAAAACCCGGGACTAGCCGGTGGGAAGTTTCATCGGCTACACGGGAAGATGGAGCACGAGAAGAAGTGGGAGGAGATGGCTTCCAAGCTAAATGCCATCGGAGGTGCTCAAAAGTCCGCCGAACAGTGGCGCACAGTAAGTAATAAGCCCATTAAGTTTGAACGTACCAGCAAGCAACGGTGCTGTGCGTATGAACTGGTGAATTGGGAAAAATTAATCACTTTTATTTAGGTCTGTCGTTTGTGAAAATAATTATTAACGTAAGAATATCGGTTTTCTTATAAAAGTATATATACAAGTGGAGTCAATCCCATGCATTGTCACTGCACAGTCTCGTTAGTTGTGTGTACATGCATTCATTGTTTGGAACATTGTACCTGTTAATTTTTAATGATACTTTTTTCTTCTTACGTAAATAGGTATGGCGCGATTTGAAGAGCAGAACCAGTGTTCGAGTGCGCGATAGGAAAAGGCAGCAGGCGTTAACCGGCAACAAGCCCGTTAAGCAAGCTCCTTTAACAGAGCTAGAGGAGCGGGTTGTGGCCATCATCGGGAGCAATTATATTGAGGGCCATGAGTCTGTGGCAGAAAATGTACCAATGAACTTGGTAAGTTTTAATTGACTTATTTCTGACTCAGTATTAACCACTTTTTCATTATTAGGAGCTCCAGTTGGCCATGGAAGAAGGTGAGGAGATTGTTTTTCTGGATGAGGTGGTGGAGTGCGAAGGTTTGATAGAGGAGGAGACGCGTCCGGAAACTCCAAAAACTCCTACACTCAGAACCCCGCGCAGAGGATTGAAGAGAAAGAGAGAGGAGGAGCAGATCGACGTCCAAAATAAATTTTTGGAAATTGCCAAAACGCAAGCCGATGCAACGAAAGTAAATATTTTATTAATAGATTTTGGAATTTTTAATGATTGTTTTTTAAAATACATAGATGCTGTCAGAAAGTTTCCCCAGACTGGTGGACCTACCATTCCAGCTGGCGGGGGAACTCCGCGGATACGGAGAGGGGTTGAAAGCCTGTGCTGATGCCATAAACAATTTGGCCAGGGCACTCGGTCCACAATAATTTTTTTGAAAAAAATTAGGTTAAGAAAAACTAAAAGTAGATTAAGAATTAGGTTAAGAAAGTGAATTGGTACCTTTTAATTTTCTGAAGAATATTATTATATTTACATACACTGGTGGCCTCATAATTAGAAATCCGAGTTCACAAGTTTTTTTTATTTTTTTTCTTTTTTGTTTTAATTTATTTTAAGAAAAAACCATAGAGAAAAGTTGTAGACTTGTACTTGATTTATAAAAATTCGAAAAATTTCAGAAAGTCAATATTTCAAACTTTTTAATCAGAATTTCTGGAAAAAATTCGTCTGTTTTATAACCTATTAAATTTTGATATAAATTGTGTAACTTTTAAGTAACTCAAAAATCTCATTGGTTTTTTGAGATTTTTTTTCG